ACAGCACACTAGTGCATGTCCTGGATGAGTCTGGTATAGGCTATGTCTACATTTACGGCAGCATGTAGTGTACAGGCACTACACGTGCAGTTACATGCCGTAGTGAAAGGCAGGCTGCATCAGCACTTGCCACTGTGGTATGTCACATGTCAGCTACATGTCATAATGAACTACTCTGGCAGGGGGAGACAGTTTGGGAAGCAGTGGGGAAAGGTTCCGGCAGTGGGGAGCCTTTCCCTGCTTCCTCCCCCCACCAGTGCCTTTCTCCACTGCCAGAGCCTTTCACTGTGGTGGGGAAAGGTTCCAGCAGCCAGGAGGCAGTGGGACATTACACTGGTAAAAATAGCTGTGACACTGCTTAAGTGTGCAAAGAGCCTATGTAGGATACATACCCTGGGCATTCAGTTGTGTAGAGCATTTTATTCTCCTTGCCTCACCTAAGCATGCCAAGCTATTTATACCATGCTAGCTGGTCATTCAGTGTTTGTACTCTACATGCTGCCATAAATTTAGACACCCTTACAGTCTTCCGGTATCTGTTCCAGTCTCATAAGCCACCAGATGACTTCTCTCTGAATGTGGGCATAAGCTTTCTCAAGACTGATAAATACTACATATAGGGTTTTCCTCTTTTCTCTATATGTTTCCACAAGCAATCTCAATGCAAAGATAGCATCCATTGTTGACTTGCCTGGCATGAATCCAAACTAATTGTTACTGACCTTTACTTCTGTTTTAGTCTCTTATCAATAACTTTCTTCCAGATCTTCATTGTGTGGCTCATGAGTTTAATGCCAATGTGGTTACCACAGTCTTGTACATCTCCTTTTCTCTTTAATACTGATACTAATGTGTTCTTTCTCCGGGCATCAGGCATCATCTCAATCCTCATGACAATTATGTCAATATGTTCATGTCAGTTGCTCCAGGCACTTCCATACTCTGCTGTATGCCACCAGGGCTGAGATTTTTCTTATTTTTCATGTGGCTCAATGCTTTTATAACTTTTTCTTTTAGGTCTGGTGCCACCAGACCTTGGTTTGGTTTTATCATATGGCATAGTTCTATTGGTTTCTCTCCATTCATTAGCTTTTCAACGTAATTTCGTTCCTTAATCTGGTTCTCATTGATTAATTATATCCACTTTCATCTTTAATTACTTTGATCTTACGACTGTCTTTAGTTCACTTATCACAGGTCTTTGCCAATCAATATATTTATTTCTCACCTTCCTTCATGTCAAAATGGGCATTTTAACCTTCCATGGCTTTAGCCTTAGCGGCTGCTATCTCTTTCTTTGCCTCCCCCCCCTTTTTTTTCTGGCTTTTTTGTACTTCTGAAAATCCTGCTGTTGGAGCATTGCTTGCCAAAGTTTAAAACACTTTGTCTTTTCCTTCTCAGCCACTCAAACTTTCTCATTCTGCCACCAGATCTCACTGGGGACAAAGGCTCTTGCTTCTGTTCACCAAGTGGGCTCTGTGCACATTCTTGAATTTTGTTTGCAACATGAATCTACCATTGATTCACATTTTCTCTTAAGCCTTCTAAAGAGATCTTCTCCAACACTTCCTGCTAACTTTCTTAAGCTTACACCACTTTGTTTTCTGTACTGTTTTGGACTGTTTTCTTCTAAAGTACTATATGTATCCATATTCAAGAACCAGCATTCTATGTTGAGTTGCAATGCTTTCCCCTAAGATGACCTTACAGTTTTTGATGGTCATCCCAAACTCACACTGACAAAAACTTTATATCACACCAAATCATCATATATTCCCTATATTTTAATGCAAGAGGAGTTGATAAACTTGATAGGTATCAAGACAACTTGATAATTTTCTATAATTCACTATTTATAATAACCCAATCATAGAATTACTAATCAAACCAGCACAAAAACAATATTTAACATAATAAAGCTGGCCACCAAGGCCCCAATCCTACAAAAATGATGCACCTGCTTAATTTTAAGCATGTGCACAATTCTTTGCAAGATCGGGGCTTAAATTCCAAAAATACTACAAGGGGAGGTCAATATTTTTTTGCATCTTATCATTTTCTCCCCTGTGCAAGGAACTATGCTTAAAAAGAGGTTATCCATATTATTATATTAGCATAGAAAGGAAAACCACATAAAAACTGCTAAGCACCCTGTGCATAATCTAATAATAATAATAATAATAATTAATAACAGAAAGAAAGGAAAAAAGATACCTTCTTTGAATAACACCACTGTTTATGATATATTTAGAATGAGCAAACTTTCTCTGAGCTAGACTCTCAGCTGGTGTCAACGTACTTCAATGGAGCTATTCCAATTGACGCCAGCTGACAATCTGGCACTAGATATTTCAATTTGCAAGTCATTTCTGATTATTTATCAATGCCCCAAATACAGAACAGACAACTCCACACAGACTCAGAACTTCTTAAAGAAGGGGAGTCTTTCATATATTCTTTCCCACTATATTCTCTACTACAGAATACAGACTTGAATTTCATTTTCACACAAGGAAACAAAAGAAAACAAAGATCTGCTCACCAGCAAATGAGAAAACTACATTCAAACTCATCCATCCCATCACACAAAACATTCAGACAAGAAGTATGCTGGGTTTACTGCATTATGCAATACTATCCCCCTTATCCCAAAAGTGATCAAATAACAGTGACCCTTCCTACTTCCACCCTTATAATAGAAAGAGCTCATTTTACCTAAGAGACAACTAAATTCAGCCAAAAAAAGGTCTCCTAAACTGACCATTTACTTTGGAAAAGGTCATAACCTCCCTCCTCCCTCTCTAAAAAGAGTCCCTAACCAAACACGAAAATAAAATAAAAAGAGGCAAACTAACTAGCGGTACACTAAATAGGGTGTAATACAACAACATATATTTCTGTTTATATGGTTCTTAATCAGAAATGAGTTAAATGAGTTTGACAAAGTGCAGGTTCCTCTAAACATGTGAAAGAACAAAAGTTGGCTGAGTATTTCCTGACCTGTGTTATTGGTAAATTTAGTGCAGAACAGCACACACGCCTCTCAATTCTAGAAGCACCGCAAAGCCCCCCCCCCCCCTCTTCACTGATTTTTCTCATTGCACATATTGGGCAATATCATGATGACCTATTTCTCAGAAGTAAGATTTTCCAAAATGTTGCCAAACAAACAAAATGTTTTCCAAAACATTGTGAGCACATGGCAACCTTTACTAGTTTCCCATGCTCTTGAGCAATCCTAGTTAACAGGTACCTCTTATTAACTACTTTTTGCTCATAAATGTAGACAACATCTGCTGAAGTTGTTCCTCATTTCTTGCTCAGTCCTTTCTCAAAAAAACCCCAATAATTATAATGACAGTTTTGCCTCAGTAGGACCTGATTTGGCCATATATATATATATATATGTGTGTGTGTGTGTGTGTGTGAATGTGTATGTGTATATATATATATATATATATATATATATATATATATATATATATATATAAAACCTGAATATATATAGAATGTCATTACCATTAGTCACTAGGCTTAAAATACTGGACCCAATCCTCAGCTAATATAGCCACAATGATTTACATCCTCTGAGAGTCTGTTCCTTAATTCCCATTAGTGAAATCTTTAGAAATTACCAAATAATAACAACAATTATAAAGTGAAATTGATTTTTTGTTAAAGCCCTGTAGCCTGGATATGCTTTTTGTCAAGTTCATGCTTCATGATAATATCTCATAATAAGAAAAACCCACAGCAAAGATTCTAGTGGTATGGAAATTATCCTATGTGGGGGACAAAAGCATATGAAATGTGTTGGCAAGCTTCAGTAGAGAAAAGGCAAACTTGTAGTATTTCAATGGAGGTTGGCCTCTAGCTCCAATTGCACTCTAGAGACTGTGGTTTCACTCCTGAAGACAAAAACAGTGAAAGGGAGCTAGAACAAATGTGCAACACTCAGCCAGCATATCAATGGCTAATAATCTAAGCATTGCACCTTAATTTTACTGACAGTGATTGTTTACAGTTCCATTTAGACCACAGAACATAGGGTAGCTAAAGAAAGTACCAGTGAAGAAAATTGTAGATGGAAAATCGTTTCTAACTGTTACGACCTTCAATAGTAAATAACAGGAGAATGTTAACAAATGTTGATAGAGCTCTCTTCTGTGGGGAATTTTTTTTAATTTTGATTCTTTTCCTAATATTGGAACAGTTTCTCCTAGAAAAATGGACCCACTGGCTCAAAATGTAGCAGAATAAATAGTTTCCATAATTTGGTATTAAAAAGGGTTGAGGGGGAGGCATAGCTCAGTGGTTTGAGCATTAGCTTGCTAAAACTCAGGGTTGTGAGTTCAGCCCTTGAGGGGGCCACTTAGGGATCTAGGGCATAATCAGTACTTGGTCCTGCTAGTGAAGGCAGGGGGCTGGACTCAATTACCTTTCAAGGGCCCTTCCAGCTCTAGGAGATAGGATATCTCCATTAATTAAGGTTGGTCAAAAATTCTATTTAATATTTTATTAACAAAAACTATGCCCTGGCAGTTACTAAACAATGCCCATTATGCAAAGTGCTATTTGTGTGTACTTTAGTTTTTTCCTTTCTGTGGAACATAGTGCTGCATTAACTATTCAGTACTCTTTATCAGGCTTTCACTATACCCAAGAACATTTCACTAAAATACAGCCCCTCTAATTATCACATTACTTTTCTCAAAAACCAACGCACAAAAGAAAATATGTACAAGGACAGACAAGTAACATACCTGCTATCAGGACAAAAATATTGGCCCGTGATACTGCACTCTAAGATTATGAATATATTGCAATGCACAGTATCTAGAAAAAATCAGTATGGCAATAAGACAAAAGCTTCATTTTTATTTTCTGTCATTGTATATATTAGCTCCTCAAGTGTAGGACCTGCACAATCCTGAAGATGACAAATTACTTTAAAAATCTATTTATGCTGTACAGATTACATTGGAACAGCCTCTACTTACCCCAAGTCCCCCACAAGGCAACAAGGAAAAGATTTTTTGAGACACGCTGCCTATATGTTAAAGAGAAAAGACAACAATCAGCATAAAACTTGAAAAATAATCTTAATTAATTCAATCCTAATGTATTAATCTCTCTCAATAATTAGTCAACTACAATACTGTTTGCAGTGTTGCTGTAGCCATGTTGGTCCCAGGTTATGAGAGAGACAAAGTGGGTGAGGTAATATCTTTTATTGGACCAACTTCTGTTGGTGAAAGAGACAAGCTTTCAAGCTTCTCAGAGCTCTTTTTCAGGTCTTCCTGCAGAAGAAATCTGTGGAGCTCGAAAGCTGTCTTCTTCACCAACAGAAGTTAAACAAAAATACTATAACTTTAGAATAACACTGTGATTAGTACTAAAAAGATCAAAATCAGTCTTTGGATTTTGGGGTTAAATTTTGAAACACTAATAAAGCTGTTAAACTGGTTTTCCTGGGATTTCCAAAGGAATGGGGATTAGGCATGAAACCTCACTGAAAGTCAATGTGAATGCTGGTACTTTTAATGGTCCAGACAATTACAGTATGAGCTCATTTAAAGTGTAATTATATGAGTATTTTAATAGCTTATAATTAACATAGATAACTGTATACTTCAGCAGTACTATATGAATTGATAGCATTACTATACCAAATGAAATTTAGACAAAGAACATACAGATTACACAGTCTAATTTATTACTTCCCTTAATTTACACAATATACCACAATATGATGACTCAATATAACCTGAAGTTGTTATTAATTTTAAGACAGTCCTATATTCAGTTTTTACTACCTTTGAACTTAGTGTTTGCCTTATTAAGGACTATGTTAAAATTAGGTAGGAATCTTAGGATTTGACCCATTCACTGTTGGAGTATGTAATTCGGCTCTAGGCAAATCTTTCCAGGGCAGTTGTGGAAGAGAACATAGATTTCCCCCAATGTACCACTGAACTAGTTTTGTAACTTCAACACAGAGGAAATGCTAGATGGTGGATCAATTCAAGCTGCCTAGAAAGTAGCAACCCATTGCTGAGGAAGAGGCAAAGGCTAGAGTTACTTGTGTTTAACCAGTATAAATGAAGTGTATAACGAAGATTATAAGCTATAGTCTTTCAGCACTGAGAGACCAGATTGGAAAGTTGGAAGAAAGTGCCTTAGTCTGATAGTAAAATCCAAGACATACTGAATTTGCAGCTATTTCTAATCAGCAGAAGAGGGCATATTGATCAATTAACATAGGGTGAAAATCATACAGGTACAGAGGGACTAAACAAAGCCATCTGCACCAATTTAAGAGTTCTGCAAGGGAACTGCACATGCAGTAGCTGTACAGAATATTATCTCACACTATGCCATAGAGGAATGATTACTCCAGATATACCAGGGTAGGTAGATGCTCTGGGGCATGCCAGAAAGGGGATATGGAAGGGGGTCATCAGGTCACTTGCAATGCAGATCCAGTGGCTGACGTGGATGACACTTTTTTTACATTTTTCTGAGGAGATGATGGAAAAGTCTGAGAAAGGGCGCTAAAAAATACATAATTAAAAATAACAGGTTTGAGGTGCTGTCAAAGTATTAGGAGGGAGTGACTAAAGTTTCATGTAAGATAAAGGATGATATTTTGAAAACATTGTATAACTAGAATGTTTTTCAATAAATCCAGTAGCTAACTGATGGAACGTGAGAGAGGAAAGATGAATTCCCAGATATCTTAATGCTAGATGCATATAGGAATTGTCACAAAAAGAGAGCATATGGAGAAGCAAGATGTAGAAATCCATCAGCAGGCAGTATTCAACACTGAAGTATCGACACAGGGGAAAATATGTACAAAGACTTTTCAACACATCAAGAAATTTACCAGAAACACTTATTCCCTATTGCACAATTGTCAGAGAAGCAGATAGCAAAGTGATAACAGAACAGGAAAAACATCAAGATCTCTTTGAAAGAACAGTATGAAAAGGTTTTGCTAAGAGGGAGTAGGACGGTCACCTAATGATCCTCATAGCAATGAAAGAGCCTCCAGCTTTGTTGACAAAACAAAAAGACAAAAAAAACAACCCAAAACCAGCAGCAAAAATGTTCAAAATGAGACAATTCAAGAGGTCCTAATGATATTTGGAAATGATTCAAAAGTACTTGGCAAATGCCTACTGCTTGATTTTTCATAAAATGTATCCAAAAAAAAAAGGGATTTGAATAAACCAGATTATGTGGAAGGAGAGTGAAAACTTCACAATAAGTTCTTCAGTCTTGCATCAGGCCAGGTCTTGTAAGATTGAGAGCCAAACCCTTGAAGAAAATGACCATCAGGAGAAGATCTGAGGGATATGGTGTTAGAGTGATCAGCTCTATTAGTCATGGATGCAATATAGAGCACAAATAAAGGAATGTTAAAATAGGAGAATCACAAAGGTTCCCTTTTCTGATATGTAAGACCACAAAGGAAAGGATTCTCTGGTGAACTCTCATACAAAGGAGACTTTTTGGAGAAGAGGGTTATGATGCAAAGTTAAGTGCCAGGACAGTAATCCACATGGATGCTGCAGTCTGTGTGAGTGATTCACAATGCAGGATTGAGGCTTTGGTGAGCAAAAGAAGAGACAGCAGCAAAACATTACTTTGTGGAAAGATGGACAATCTAGTAATACTGTATGAAAGCTTACAGAACACAAGGGAGGTTTGGGGACCTTAACTGTTTTCCAATATCAACCCTCAGATTGAAGCGGGTACTGCTAAGTGATCACATAGGAACGCACAAAAATTGTAACATACTTACATATGCTGTCTAAATGTATCTTTTTATTCCACTTTAAATGAAGCATATAAGCTGACAGCAAATTTTTCACATTTACAAATTTGTGGTAATTGGAAACTTACTTTTTTAGAAACATTTTCATAATGACAGCGGGAGAGAAAAAAATTCACACTGAACTTGCAGGATCTACATGGAAATGACTGATTGTTATGCATTTGTGCTCATTAAAAGAGGTTTGAAATGGTGTATCCTGTCACATTAGATCATAATGTAATATGACACATCATCTCCGGTATTAATTTGCATCACATCAAGATGTAATGCAACATGTCATGTTGTTTAACACACTGTAGTGAAACATGAGCAATCAAAAGCTTAACTTTTTACTAGTGCAAAGTTACATAATTTCTAAAAGGTTACATAATTTGTAAAATGGTAATTTGTAATAATTGAACTCTTAGGCCCTGATTCAGAAAAAATGTAACCACGTGTATAAATCTATCCCTCTTCAGGAAAGCACTTAAGCACCTGCTTAACTATAACCATGTGCTTAAATCTCATTGATTTATCAGGACATAAGTATGTGGCTAAGCACCCTTTTTAAAGATAGATGCTTTCCTGAATCAGGGCTTTAATATGTAATTTGTAAAACACACATTTAATTAGCAAGTATTAAATTTCTCATGCTAGATTTACCCCATCTCCTGTAAGTCACTTTTAACACTAGCGCCCTAAGCGGTTTCTTTTTTTATTTTTAAGTTACAAAGAAAGGTTTGGCTATTTCTGAATATAAAATAGTTTAATGCAATATAAATCTGTTGTTTCCACCAGGCCTATCATCTGCGGTGTTCCACTGAAAAGTGTCTACTATGCATTACTATGTGCATGGTAGGTGAGGGTGGGGAACAAAAGAGTGGCTGATTTTGGTCAACCATTACTTTTCCTTTGAGTTAGCACATGAGGCCAAATTGTAGAGCTAGTCAAAAATATTTAGACAGAACAGTTTTCTGTCCAAAAAATGCACTTTTGTTGAAATTGAAATGCTTTGCAGGAACTTATCGATTTCATGAAATTTTCAATGGGGAAATATTTATAATCTCAATTCTTTTGCTTTGACATTTATATATTAATTAATTATATTACATTACATTAAGGCTTGGAAGGCGTACATTTTTATCAGTAAATTTTAATAAACACTGATTTCATTGTCTACACACAAATCGATGAAAAAATATTTCCATCAATAATAATTGATATTTACAGGTAGGTAAAGTAAGAAAAATGTTGCTTGAGAACTTATTAGAATTTGATTTAAGGATATTTACTTTGTATATGTTGACATGTGATGATGACAATTAGTGTTTTAAAGCTTTAACATTTTGAATCTCAATATGTTGTCTGACCCACCCATCGTGTGACTTTCCCCATAATTTCCCACAACTCTGAAAATTTAAATCAATAAAAATAAAGAAGCTTAAAAATAAACACAGTTATCCATCAAAATTATAAAAAATCAATTTTTGCCAAGCCTAATTATATATAATGTTTAATATTGTGTGTATATAACATATTACAATTAATACAGTACAAAAGTCAAAACAAAATTGATCAAAATGACAAAGTCTCATTGAAATATTTAAAATTTTCAATGGTCTAGAAGTGTTATTTTTTTTTTTTTTTTTGTTTTTGTGTGAAATTTCAAAATTTTGAATTTCATTCCAATTTGGACCATTTTTTCCCCTAAATGTCAAAATTTCCATTGTTACAAATTCGAGTTCCTGACCAGTTGTATCAAATTGTTGTAGTTTTTATTTTTGCCATCCCATGGACCTGGCCTAATAAAAATATAAACGCTCATAAAGGATCATTGTGTTTCCCTTTATCTATTCTAGTGCCTCAGTGCAGAGGCAGTTTATCAATATTACTGAATAAATTATTAGCATCACCATTCCTATAGCAAAATAACTGTTCTATTTTAGTGTAGTTGTAGAAATAATTACTAATGAATCTCTGGGGAAAAAAAAGCTTCTGGTGGGAAGGGTATGTTATAAATATAAAGCTCCATGTCTTATACTGGGTGAAATAAAAATAGATAAGAACTCTAATGTGTATAGTGCAACATTCACTATTGTAGGTTTGTCAAGATACATTGCCTTGTGAACGATTTATCTGAGATTAGAATCTAACCTTACTGTTCCTAAAATTAAAGTATATGCTCAGCACTGACCATGCATCCAAATATAATTCTTGAGACACATCAGTGCTGATGGCTTGTTTTTATTTTTACATATTAAAAACCATTTAATACTTTAAATATGATTTTATGTTACTCAAAGATACTATACACTGCATACTGCACAATTACACAAAGTTCAGTTATCAGCAAAATCTGATGAATAGTATCTATATTCAACTCGGCTGAAATAACGTTTAAAATAAATAAAATGAATGAGAACAGCAGAAGAACAGTTTTGACAAGCAAGTGTATTTTTAACTCTTATTTTTAGATGAAAGATATAAAGAAATAGAAGATCTATTGCATTCCAAATTTCCATAGTTACTGATTTCTGGCGGAAATGACTTAAAGGGTTAATATTAAAATGATGTAAAAGCAAATGTGGAGAAACTTCTATTGTTGTTTTCCAGCCAGTGCATTTTACTAATGTATATTGGCTTCCACTGTAACATTCTCATTTCACTTAGCAATGCATTTGGAAAAAGTGAATTTTTGTCACACTGCTTGCCAAGTATTTTAAACTGACACCAGCTATGACTAATGACAGTGCTGGAATGTGCTGTTCTCAGTAGAATAGAGGCCTGTACAGACCTAGGAGTTTCCTGGGGTCCAGCTTCTGTCTGTTCAGGGGGCTGGTGCCATATAGCAGTGAATGATGTTCAGAGTGAACCAGCTGTATTTCCTCCAGACTGGCTTTTCGACCTCGAATTCGCTGAAAGAAAACAGCAGAGGCCTACAATATTCCACTGACAATATCTGGGGGGGGGGGGAGGGAAGTAAAGGTCCAAAATAACATTTAGTATGATTAATAATGGGTTGAAATTGCATCATGCAGGAATGTGACACTGATTTGTTTATTAAAGTATACTAAGGATGAAAAACAAATGCATGTGTGGTTAAGTCTTAACTTATAGTTAGCAAGATACAGTATTCATATAACAGAAAAAAGAAGTCTCTCTCTCTCTTTTTACAAGCCAATAAGAGTTAGAAAACAAACATAGATGTGTTTTCTATAGTACTCAATCCACGTTGAATATCTCAGTATTAAAGAAAACAGTGTATTCGCACCTGGAAGCTACAGATGAGTTTTGAAATAAAGATCACTGTGTTTTGCTAGTGCCACTATTACTTACCACAGTGTCAATTCTTCTAGAAAGGAAAATATAAGTCCTACATTTAAAGTAAGCTAAAAGTACTTTTTTTCTCGAATTTAGGGTTGGTCTCCATAGAGTTTCATTCTGCCAGACTCAGATTCATTTGCTGCCTCTTTTTTATTTTTATGACTTCCTTACTTATTGTAATTGGAGTTTGGCCCTTTACATACTTACCCAGCCTTTACCTTTCCCGTACAGCATTGTTAAAATTCAAGGATATTCTTCTAGCTCCATTAAAGTACAGTCAGTTAAAAAAACTGTAAAAATGACACTTGCTTACTCAACAGATCTTTTCCCTGTGTGTATTTAGTTATCTTTGCTTACTACAATGACATAAATAAGCATTTACTACTTTCTACTCCTGTTAGTACTGCACACAGTCTATACAGCTACAGCAGAGTGAAATGGATTTTATTCTGGTTCATGCATAATCAGCAGCAAGTTCTGTCACGATGTCTTTATTACTGTAGAAGCAGAAAGAAAACAGTTAAACTTAAAAACCCTAGGTTTTATTTGCAGTGTTGACAACTAGAAACTGCATGGGTCAAATCCTCAGCTGGTGCAAACTGTCATAACTCAGGCTGAGGAGCTACACCAATCAAATATGGTCTGTATGTAAGTAAATAGATATGAAACTTACTGAGGGACAATACACATGTAACCCCCATGCTATTTTCATGGAGTCATTTTTCAAAGTATATACTTCCACGATTTGAATGACTGTTCTTTTTGATAAATTCCATTCAGGAACTTATTTTTTCCTGGAGGTAACTGTCTAGCACTCAGTATTACATAACAACCCCACCACCACCACAACCATCACCACACACACATTGCAAAACACTAAACTCTTCTCTTCATCAGGGCACAAAAGCAACAATTACATATATTAAGTGCCCTACCAAATTCACGGCCATGAAAAACATGTCACAGACCATGAAATCTGGTCTCCCCTGTGAAATCTGATCTTTTGTGTGCTTTTATCCTATACTATACAGATTTCAAGGGGGAGACCAGCATCTCTCAAATTAGAGTCCTGACCCAAAAGAGGCTCATGGAGGGTGTTGCAAGGTTATTGTAGTGGGGTCGAAGTATTGCCACCCTACTTCTGTGCTGTCTTCAGAGCTGAGAGGGTGGAGAGCAGCGGCTGCTGGCCAGGTGCCCAACTCTGAAGGCAGCACCCGGCCAACAGCAGCATCGCAAAAGTAAAGATGGCAATACCATACCATGCCACCCTTACTTCTGTGCTGCTGCCTTCAGCATTGAGTCAGGACCCCTACAGTTACAACACCATGAACTTTCATTTTAAATATCTGAAATTATGAAATTTATCATTTTTTAAATCCTATGACCGTGAAATTGATCAAAATGGACCATGAACATGGTAGGGCCCTACATATATTTGAAGAGAGCAAGTTTTGAGGAAAAAGAGTTGTCTAGGGTGGTCCAACTGGACTGGGCATAATTTATACTAAGTTAAGCAGAGGCAAATTTTGCTGAATAATCAGAAAAATATCCCTAAAAATTAGATCTAGTGGACTGTGGATTAGTCTGGCAAGGGAAATGGTGGAAGTCCTATTTTGTGCATAATTTACAACTAGACTGGACACAGCAATGGAAAATAAAATTTAGGGAACAATCCATGGACTAAATGACAAGCTCTTTTTTCATCTCCAAATTCTCCAGGCCTCCCCAGTCTCACGTGAGACTTTGTAGCAGCACTTTCACATCCTTTTGACACACTTTTCCACAATCAAAATCTGCACATTATGTTTCTTCATGGAGTCAATGATAAAAATATTTTTTCTTCAAAAGTGTGGTGACGGATAAGATTTGTTCATTCATCCATTCTCTCTAAAAAATGTATATATTTCTATCAATTGTTTCACAACATATGTACACAATTCTCTACAGAGATAGGGAGGGAAGGATAGTTCTTAGGTCAGCTAAAATATTTTTCTAATCAGATAGATAAACAGATGTGGTGTCAATGTTTTATCAGAGTGAGCTTGGAATGGCTGCATTAGTCACAAGTGGCAAAGGCCCAAGTGCAATAAGCAGGTCATCTCAAATAAGTGCCCATATACCCTTTACGCTGCATGTTCATACACTTAGATCACATAGAGGGCTTGTCCACATGAACATTCAATTTGCAGCAAGTCTGGGTATTAATCCACCCAACATCAGTCTGCCATGCAACAATTGTCCGTGTGAACACTGCTGCCACACACTAACAGTTCCTTAGGGTATGTTTACACTTACCAGTAGATCGGCACTGCTGCAATCAATGCAGCGAGTGTCGATTCAGTGGGTCTGGTGAAGACACGCTAAATCGATGGGAGAGCAATCTCCCATCGATTTGTGTACTCCACCTCCGCGAGAAGAGTAAGGGAAGTCGATGGGAGATGCTCTCCCGTCGACGCAGTCCAGTGTAGCCACTGTGGTAAGTGGATCTAACTACATTGACTTCAGTTACGTTATTCATGTAACTGAAGTTGTGTAAGTTAGATCGATATACCTCAGTAGTTTAGATCCGCCCTTCGTGCACTTTGATCTATTTCACTTTGAAATGGGACTAGACCACGGTGCACTAAAAACTGTTAGTGAATGTCAGAAGATTCCACATAGTTAATGTGCAGCAAGCTAGTGCAGGGTAGATTTATACCCCAGCATGCTGCTAACTAAATGTTCATGTAGACAAGCCCACAGCTTACAGAAAAACTATTTTAGAAATATTTAAAAGGGTTAGGATTATTTTTAATTGCCATTAATTGTCATAATCTTTTGGCTGTAAAGTCAGTTTCCATAGTACCAAAACTCCAACTACTGAGGACTCGGGTCAGAATAATGTCATGATTTTCAGGTCCAATATGTCAAGACCTAGCAGGGTTATATAAGTAAATGCTGTAACCCCATTATAAAATTTGGAGTCTCTGTTTTTTCAATGGTGCAAAGTTCCTGTTTTAAGCCCTCATGGGCCACAAGAGGTCAGACAACATAATGTAGGCATTTCTGTATCTTTAAGTATACACAACTATATATTTATTTGTTGGTGGAGATAAACAGAGAGATGTGAACTGCTTTATCTGCGTCCCCTAATACTTTCAAGGTCTGAAATATGGCCAATGTAATGTCCTAATTAGTTCTGATTGGTCCTGGAGGTATCTAAACCTTTAGTAAAATATAGTAAAAGGCATAAAATCATGATAAAGTACACTTTTGTTAAGGAATTAGAACTAATGTAGCAGAACAGATGGACTGCATTGGTTTTGCATTATGGAGAACTTGAAAGGGCTGATTTGGGGGTAGATCCATAGTAAGGGCAAACTTCTCTTCTCTGAACTCCATGATATTCTGCTTCCCCATCACGGGTGGTTCTCTCACTGACATCAGCTTGGAGGCATGCATATGTCAGGGGAGTAGAATATTGAAGTTGGGTAATCGGAAATGTCCACCCTAGAATGGGCCAGTTATACCTGCCAGAATTGGAGAGGCCTGCATCTTCTCCATTGCATTAAACTAAAAATAATTGATAACATGGATTAAACAATATTTATCACTCAACTCTTTCACTATAAGCTTTCCCTTTATTACAGTTGTATGTAGGGATCTGCTTCCTCTAAAATTCCACTAGGCTCTCTAGTCCTCAAACATGCAAATAAACAAAAAAACAAACTAATGGTCTTCATAGTTTTTTCATCTTTCTTGGGATTTTTCACAGTGGTTAAATTCTCTCTCAGTTCCTTAAAACACACACACACTAAATGGACCTGTTGCCCAGTTGGCACATCAGGGGATCTCTCTTGCTCTATATGTGTGTATCTTTCTCTTAAAAACACATGCACACAAAGACATATCATTTTTGCTCTGTACATAAATTCATCTTTCCTGGTCTTTTGGTATCTAATGTGAATGTGTTTGTCATTAAAAAATATGTTTTTAAAGTGCCCATACAGATTCCCCTATCACTCTCCTACCCGCACCCTTGCTTTTTGTGTCTTCTTTAGAGTTAAAGTGAGATTATGAAGAAGGAATCTTTATTTCAAAGTTCAATAAAAATAATCTGGGAGTCTCACACCTCCTTAACAAAACTCGTTCTCCCCTCCCAGAAAGTTAAAGCTCACGAACTGGCCAACGCATCCACGTAGTAAGGCAGCAATAGACAGCGTGAAACATCTGATTAATCCCCTGTGAGAGCATTGCAGGTCACATTGTGAGCTGAGCGAGCAGCCAGTGCTGGAGCCGTGGGCAGCGTTTATGAGGCGTGAGGAGGCGAAGCTCCCCAAATGGGGCAAGAAATGCCAGATGCGGCAAACCTCCCTTTGGAGGTGCACAGTCCTGCCGCCTTTGCAGTGCCGCTGCCGGCAGATCCCGAGAAGTGCGGCCAGACTGTAGCTCCGCCCCGAGGCCCCGCTCCCGCTCAGCCTCTTCCCCCGTGGCCCCACCCGCACTGCACCTCTTCCCGCTGAGGCCCCGCCCCTTCCTACCCCCCCCCCCCGCCCACTGCTTGCACCTCTCCACTGCCCATCCCCCATTGCTCACCCTCAAGGCAGGAAGGGGCAGAAAGGAGCAAGCGGCGGGTGGGGAGGCCCCGGGGGAGGGAGGAGCAGGCAGGCAGGCAGGCAGAGGGGCTTGGGGGAGGAGGGAGAGGGAGAGGGTTCTCAGGACGGAGTGGGGTTGGTGCCGCGGGGGAGGATCGGGCCTTGGGCTAGAGCGGGGGGCAAAGTCCAGGCACCGGTGGCCCTCCCACTTTTAGGGAGCTTCCTGCACGTGCCCCAGCCTCCCCAAACACAAGAGGTACGTGCCGCCTGTGGCTGGGTCGCTACTCCCCATCTCATACCGCGGGGGGGAGGAATAGCTGCAGCCTTAGCTCTATTTACCCCCCCCCCCCCCAACTGTGCCAGCCAGTGTAGCTGAGCCAGTTAGGGTGACCAGATGTCCCGATTTTATAGGGACAGTCCCGATTTTTGGGTCGTAAAGCGGCTCCTATAACCCCCCCACCCACCCCCTTCCTGATTTTTCACGTTTGCTGTCTGGTCACCCTAGAGCTAGTACATTTGCGGATGTACTCTTCTGTGCCAGCAAAAGCGTTGGTACAACTTATTCTCCACCCTGGAGCAAGTGGGAAGCAGTAATCAAACCGTTATTTGTGAGTCACAATTCAGTCGCTGTTCTGGCTGCTGAGGCAGCACAATTATGCACTGCCCGGATGATATTAATTTTGATGGAATATATGGGGACAAGGAGTTAAAGGTGTCAACATGACCCTTTCACTGTCCAACATTAAACAGTTTTAAATAAGGTTCAGGGTTTGATATATAGAGCTCTTAGTCTGCTTAGCACCATGGCAAGTACACTATTAAAAATCTTCATAACTTTTTATAGTCTTTGGAAGGAAAAGAACCCTAGTCTGACAGCATATTAGATGGTAGTAATGGTCCTTTAGGGGAAAAAGTTAGTTGAGATGGGTTGGAGTTGTTGTTAAAATCCAAACCTGTTTCCTAGAAGACAAAACAAGACAAACACACACAAAAGAGGAAAGAAAAGAATAGCAAAGATTAAAAAATGCAGCTTCTGTCTCTTGTGTTGACATTCACTTGCAACCTCGCTGCTGGAATAAACACGTGCCTGGCACACAGTTGTATTAGCAGGTTTCAGAGTAGCAGCCGTGTTAGTCTGTATCTGCAAAAAGAACAGGAATACTTGTGGCACCTTAGAGACTAACAAATTTATTAGAGCATAAGCTTTCGTGGACTACAGCCCACTTCTGCGGATTCCACTCTGTATGCATCCGAAGAAGTGGGCTGTAGTCCACGAAAGCTTATGCTCTAATAAATTTGTTAGTCTCTAAGGTGCCACAAGTACTCCTGTTCTTTTTAGTTGTATTAGCCACTCTGAAAATTAGCAAATTTGTGCCAACATCAGGCTGTTTAGGGAATTGCTTTTAACTGCCTCTTTCATTGCAGGCTTACAGCAGTGTTGCAATAGATAGTCTTGGCTGACTGAGTCAGACTCTTACTAGACAGAAGACAAATGGAGAAGGAAAGAAAAGAGAAGAAATAAGGTGGGTGTAATATTTTGGGGTGCAACCCAGACCAGTGAGAAGTTGTGTCACCGCCTGCTCTGTAAACCCAAGTGCCTTAACTGCTCTGTTGCTGTGCTCACAGCCAGTAGACAAGCATGTAGTTCCTTGAGTGTCTGTGTGTTCTATGCAGCACTGACTCAGCACTCTGACCCCAGCAGGCTGCCTACAACACAACAGCTCTACCCTGGTCTCCAGCAGCTTCGGTGACTGCTTGCAGGGTGACCCCAATACATTCCAACTCCCAAATTTCCCCAAATTTCCATCTGCCTGGAAGTCTCAAGCCCTGTCCTGGAACACTCAGAGAAGTAATAAGGTTCGTTGAGCCTTAAAAGAGATAAAAGTGCACTTTATCATTTTAACTGGAGTGAACAATCTCTTCAATTCAAACAGTAAAAATAAAACAAGTTTATTAGCAATTATTAGGTTAAGTGATACCAAATAGAAGGGATTGAAGCTAGAATGGGTTAACAAATGAACAAAAGTAAAAATACACTTTCTAATGACTAAGACCTAACTTAACATGGCTGACCAGATGCTCTGGCCAGGACCCAACACAGGGACCACAAAGCGCTAGGTTTCTTTGTCTCCTCAGGTGTCAGATAAAGATGGAGTGTCTCTTTGACCCTTATGTTCCAAAGGAATTGTCTTTGTCCTAAAAGTCAGGAAGGCCTCCTGGTGAGTCAGTCTCCTGTGTCTCTCTGGGATGCAGGAGCCATGTTCATTCTCTGTTTCTCGAGTTCAGTCTCAGGATAACCCCTGCTCATTTAGCTTGATGGCTTTGTTTTTGCTAATATGTGAACTGAGGTCAACCCACATTCCTTTGTTTATGACAAACCTGTTTGTTACTTTTACCTAGGTTAGGCCATCTGGTTTTAAACATGTTCTAGTAACATCAAACAGAGACAATTCATACCTTTACATATGACGTGGTTACATTCATTTTATAATGATATTACTGACCAGTGTGTTATTAGTTTTCAAATGATACCTCGCAGGGCATATTCTGTATAAATATCCTTGCAGTAGTGTGTTGTGGTGATGAATACATGGGTGCCTAGGTTCACAGTGGGGAAGATGACACATGAAGCGTGGCAATGACAAAGTTTCACATCCCAGGTGTGGTTCAGGTTTAGCCAAGGCCGGTGGAGGTGATGATGTCATCTGGGTCCCTCTTTCTGGCCCGGCCTGGTCAGGACATCTTTCAGGATCAGAATGACAGAGGCCCAGCAGTGTTAAAGAAGATCCCAGTGTCCCAAGAGGTAGCCATGATGTTGAAGCTTGCTGCAGTGGTTGCTGGCAGACATCTTCTTCTTCATTTTTCCCCCAAAGTCTTTTCTTTTAAGATCCCAAAAGGGATAAAGACTGATTCAGTCTTTTTGTCTCCCATTTGCACATTTTCCCATCAACATTTATTGCTGTAGGCTATTGTGTCATTTTATAAACTTTCAGTCACTTCTCATAATTAAGGCCATAATTAGGGTACAGCTGTAGGCCCAATTATCAAAACATCCCTTACTTAGGATACATGGCAAAGTCCAATCTAGCAGCTAGGTAGCACTCTGCAACTTTCAGTTGCCCTGTTCTGATGTATCACATGATTCTTCCTTGGTTATCCAATGTTCATAGACCTTTGTCAGACAGAGTAGGTGCATCAATAAATGCACAAGCAACAGCTCATCTTATATGAAAATATTATGTCAATGTTTTACACACAAATTAAAGTCCCCAGTATTGCAAATGCTATATAAATTATTCCATTCTAACCCTCTGTTTTCAGTCACTAATAAAAACAACGGGAGTCCTTGTGACACCTTAGAGAATAACAAACCTAATAATTTTCTAAAACTCACCATTCAAACTAATATTTTCATGGCTTGGTCATGGGCTGAATGGGGATTATTATTTTTCTTTAAGTTGATGGGAAAATGATCCAGCCATTTTGGAGTAAAAGCAAAGTGGAAGGAGTAAAAAACAAACTCCTGCTCCATTCAACAATTTTTTTGGGCAAATCTTTATATGAACAGCTAAAATGTCTAAGGATAGCCCAATGCTGCAAATGCTTTGTTAAATAAGGTTAGACTTAAGCATATGCTTAATGTTAAGTACAGTATGTGCTTAGGATGCTTTGCTGAAACTGGACCTTAGAGTTCATGAAAAGTAAAAGACAGACTGGACTGTCAAATGAAATCCTCTCTTTGTCTTGAACTTGTTCTCTGGCTAAACACCTGCAATGTGCACTTCCATACATCTCCCTATCAAAGCGCCTCAAACTTATATCCCTTCAGATTTCACTTTATTGGATGAAAAGGCTATTTTTACACTGGGACCATTAAAATAGCAATTTCTCAATAGTTTAAACAAAGAAGCCATTTTCTTTCAAATAATTAAACATGAATATACGACAAGCTATGAAACTCCATTTGTAAAACGTAAGTAAACTTTCACAAAATGCTTTCTTTGAGACATATAGGGGGACCAAATTAGTTGAACGTGGCTTGAGTGCTTTGTTTCCTCAAAGCTCTTGCAAACTTACAGGTTTCTACAAGATCTGAAAGACTATATTTTAATTTGTAAAATAACTGAATTTTAGGGGGAAATCTTAAATATTTAATATGAAAAAGGTTATTTTGGCCTAATATTACACATAATAAAAACATAACATTTTGTCTACCTTTAATTGTATTCAGACCTATAAAATGTTTGAGGTCCCATTATATCACCCTGGCTTACACGGAGTAATAATCAGTGGGATGACTTGTGAAGTAAAGTGCTACAAGATCAGAGTAAGGGCATCTGAAGCCGGCCCTTAATGATTTACATAACACTGTATACAAAAGAAAGGAAACCATGCAGACCACCCATGACCAGCCAACTATTATGGCAGCTGCTCTGATAGTGTTTGTAAACAATAAGGCTTTTTTCTTTTAGATGTCTCTCTGATTATTTTTTACATGCTGCTTGTTGCAGCTTCACGTAACCTGTTAACATGCCAGTTGCATTCTTCTGTACATTTTCTAGTATGGGTCTGAACCACAAAGTTCCAGATCCAAATTTCCCAAAGTTTTAGAAGTGTTCAGATCCAAGGTTTGGGATTGGCTCATCACAAAGGTAGATAGGGGCCACTCATAACATTTCTATCCAAACCCAAACTTTCTCAACGATTGGGATTGTCCGGATGCAGGGTTTCAGTTTAGGTACATCTGTAATATGAAAAGTAACAGCAAACTCCGAGATATGCTGTTGTAATGAGATATGCTGTTGGAACTTCATTGGTTCCAGAAAACTACTGGACTACTGAATTATAATGTACCCCAGGCATGTGACACATATCCTAAGAATCAATTTACACCACATTATAGGTGCTGCTTTTCCAAGATTCAACACAGTTTACTGATTAGGAATGTCAGCTTCTTTACTGCAGAGATTATGTAACTAAAATCCACACTGCATCTTCCTTAGGTTCTTTTTTTGTTCATTATGAACCTGAGTCAGCAAACTAATTAGGCCCCAAATTTAGCAAAGCACTTAACTTTAACTTATTCCTTAAGCATATGTTCATGACCCAGTGTAATCAATGGAACAACTCGTGCTAGAAGTTACATATGTGCTCAAGGACCTTGCTGAGTCACAGCCTACTAAAACATTTAAAAAATGAAAGCAAATGAAAAAAAAGCCTGTTAGAGTGTTGCCATCTAGTTAAATTAGTGTATATAACAAATCCATTACAGTGCTTGTTACATCATAGTTCTATGTGCTCAGTTCCCTACAGAGCAGAAAATCTCAGTGAATACTTAGTGTTTCCTGAAGAAATGACCTACAGTGCCTAGTTCATGTGGATTTGCAAAAACATTAGTAAACAACACAATGTAACGTGAAAAACAGAGTATATGAGCTGAGGAAATGACTTGATCCTGCTAACTTTACTTATGGGAGTAGTGTGCATTGAGCTCTGCTCGGGCCTGCTCCTGAGAAGCAGTCAGCACCCTTAACTCCCAAGGACTTCAATAAGATGTGAGTGTGTTCAGCACCTCTCAGGAGGCATTACATGCCTTGCAAGATTGAGCCCCTTGTGCGTGTTTCCAAGATTTGAAAAATGATGAATGGAGGCTGTTTTCAGTCTACTTTTAATTAACTTATTATGCTCTAATACACAATCATAGAATCATAGTAATGTAGGGCTGCAAGGGAACTTGAGATGTCATCTAATCCAACCCCTGTGTGGAAACAGAACCAAGTAAACCTTTGTTCAACCTGTTCTTAAAAACCTCCCATGATAAGCATTCCACAACCTCTGTTGGAAGCCTATTCCAGAGCTTAACTTCCTTTATATTGAACAATGTTGTAAGTGTAAAGGAAATTAAATACATTAAATGCCAAAGTTGCCCAGATATTGTCTAGAGAATTGGGCTTCAAGTGTCTTGATTTTCTGACCCAATGTCCATCTCCTGGGACAATAAGAAAAGCTTATGAAAGCAAGTTTTATATGCTGAAACACGACAAGGTGAAGCATGCAATTATGGAGATAATGGAGATGATTAATAAATAACACAATGTTCTTATGCTGTTATGAAAGCGAAATTGTTAGCTGTCTAAAGAAACAAACAATGATCCTATTGGAAGGATTGTAACTCCCTTTTGATCGCTATCTATCTATCTGGCTGGCTGGCTGTCCTTTACATTATCTCTCTCTAGGTATCCCCAGGTGGAGAACACAACTAAAGTCTGGATTTCACATTATGATATTACGTGTAGAAGAAATTTACACAACTACAGGTGGATAAATTAATGTCAGTGTGCAGATCCCATTTTAGGAGAGGAAAGGAGGCATCAGAATGTGCAATATTTTAGTAATGTCAACCAATCATTATAGGGACAATGTATTCTATTATTACAGAAGTGACACAGACTTAGGATTTATTAATTGGCCATTTGAAGCTACCTGGTCTTTATTACCTCGCATTTGTTTAGCAACCCCGTTTCTTGCAGCCTCGACCAGATGCTTTGTATTCTTCCAGCATGCTCAGGATGATTGGCGTAGTTGCCACACATGCATTGGTGCTTCAGCATTAGACTGTCATAGACAACACCTTCAGCACAAAGAGAATACAACAAGAAAATAGAAGTAAAACTGAAATACAAGTTATAATATTCTATACATAATGCTTCCATCATGAACAGATTTTATTTAATACCCACATTTACCAAAACCAAATGCCTAGATCTGAACACCCCTTAACTTTGGGCATATCAAAATTTGGATCCCAAATGTGCATACTAATTATTATGACAGTACCTAGGATCCCCAGTCATGGACCAGGCCCCCATTGTGATAGACACTATACACACACAGAATATCTTGTCCCAGCATAGAAGATAAAAGTAGAATCAATGAGAAATAATGCTATCAGACCACATAATCTGAAAAGAATGATATTGAAAAGTACTGTACCTTGTGAACAGTTTTTAATAGGCAGCATAATTCAATTGAATTACTGAATCATTTATTTACAGTTTATTCAGTTGATATTTTTGTGGCATGGGAAGGGCATATATTTATTGCAGAGTATGGGGAAATCACTCACACTACTCCTGAAAGTTTGATTCAATGTGTTGAAAAAGGTCCCTAAAATGAGACAAAACAAGTCCTTATTTTTATTGTTTGAAAATAATAGAAAATAAAATGTAGATTTTAAATGTGCTGTGTATGACATTTAAGTGAGTGGTACAAACGCAGCAGCTGGAGCCAAAACCCTTCGTTCATCAAAGAAAAGAGTTATATCCTGCATGAATTTACGACTAAATTTTGCTGTCAGCTCCAAATGCAAGGTTCCCTTTGAATTTGGTTTACTCATATATCCAAGGCCGGAACAATTTAGTACCAAACAACTCTCAGTGTCATGTCTATTTTAGTTGCATCTTGGGAGCAAGAAGCTTTTAAGGTATTTTGGTCATTGGGCTCAATGTTAGCCTTTCATTTCAAGTCATGATTTAAAGACAAGTCTAAGACACTGACAAGTCATTTTTATTTATTTATTTTAATTCTGGTGTTTGTATTTCTCTCAGAAATGACTGAAATAAAAAATATTTCCCTAACCACTTAGGATCTTTTTCATTTGGAAAAACTTTGGATTTCCCCCCCTCTTGCATTGGGATGGAACTGAAATTAACAACTTCTGTAAATTACACAATTCAGCACTTAAAACTTCCCTGTTATGCACCAATATCACTGATTATGCCAACACATTTCTGGTAAAATTGCATTAGTCTGCTCTTTCTGAACAGTCAGCCAGTGAGGAAAATATAAAATTAAAGTTCAGATTCAACAAAGCACTTAAACACATCATTCAGCACATGTGTAAATTAATCATAAGCACATGCTTAAATGCTATGCTGAATCAGGGCCTGTTGGCACTATGGGTAATGCAAAGTTACGGTTGTATTTAAAAGGTAGAGCATTCCAAATTATGGTGCTTCTGATACCTTAATTTTTCTATATTACCAAATCCTGTACACTTTAAACCTGATCCTGTGCTGGGAGATTTTCTATTCACTTCAGTGGCTATGAATGTGGGATTGGACTACAAAATGATAATACGCTAGTAAAGTTTACATATTACACGAGCAAGAAAAATGACCTATATGCAACATGGCGAAATTTATGTTGATTGAGCATCCTTGGTGTAGCAAACTTAAAAGTGCATTAACGCTAACTTTTTGCATTGACTTTCCTGGTTTGTTTTCTTTTAAAGGAAAAAAAGGGAAATCTGGAGGTAATCATCTAATACAGCTTAAAAGCTCTGCTGGCATTGCCGATACAGTTTAGAATTTCCTTTCTCTACAACTATTTGCATTGCACGGTTTACAAGCCTTCGTGCTTCATCATCGGGGCGTATAAATTCTCAGAACCAACAAATGCACACTCATATAGGTGCATACTCACATGCTATGCATTTCTCTTCTATGCCCATATAGCTTTATTTTTTATGCTCAGTATACACCTTTCCAGTGGGCAATACTTGGTTAAATAAAGCACATTTTTTTTCAAACTAACTAAAAGCATATGTCTCTGGTAAGTGCTGTGGCCAGATTTTCAAAAGGTATTTAGACACCTAAAGATGCAAGTAGGTACCTAGTGAGATTTTCAAAAATCCCATAAGCAAGTTAGGTGCCTAAGTCCCATTGATTTCAGTGGTTCTGCTCACAGTGCCTAAAGTTAAGCATCTGCAAAGTCTTTACAGGATCAGGGCATATTAAACTTAGCCCTCCCTCCACCTGGGATTTGTCCTGATTATTCTAGTTCCCCAGAGGGTCTCCCAGAGTAACCCCAATTCTAATCAACAGAAATAAAAATACTATTAAAAGCAATTAAAAGGTGCTGTGTAATAGTTACTTTTTTGGAAATTATATAGGCATATGTGGCTTTGACAATTTTGAGGCTATTTGTTGATGATGCCTAATAATGCAGATAACCATGCAAACATTACATGTTTAGAAGTGGCAATACTGTTCCATTAGCATGTTCCCTAATACAGAGTAAAACAAAAATGTAATGTTATGGTAATTGAGTTATTTTCTCCAAATCAAAAAATGAATTCAGCTTGGATGGGTCACTACTATAATTTTATGATGGAAGCATCCACCCCAAAATTTTAAATGGTAAGATATTCACACCACCAAGTGCATAATTTACTTCTAAACAGGATTATTTGGTTTAAAAAGAGACTGAAATACACATTTTCATTTACTGAAAGCATCTAAATTGATTTAGGATGTGCAAATAATTCAGTGACACACAGCACATGTGTTTGGTACAATACCACAATGCAGCAGCAGAGCTCACTGCTAAAAATAGCCTGTAGGATTTCCCCAACAGGATTCAGCCAACAATCTCCCCACCCCCACAGAAGAAGAGACAACTGTTTTCAATTGCAGGCTGCTGTGGAACATTAGTAAAAGACGGTTACTCTGTCTTTCTAGAAAAAATGCCTAGGGCCAGATTCTGATCTCATATGCCTTTGTATAAATCCACTGAGGCCAGTAGAGTTATTCAGGATTTACACCAGTGTAACTGAGGTTAGCATCTGGCCCTTAGTGAGGGAATAGAATGGTGACCTCACTCAACCATGCAATGATAGATAAGGGACCAAAGAAATCTATCTTTCATTTGGGTCAGAAAAGGTGAGTTGTTCTTAGTCAGGATTGCATAAATCTCATTCTATTCCAAAATTCCTTATCTGGATCAACTTTTTTAATACCATTTGAAACAATAGGGGCGGGGGGGAACACCTAAAATTGTGGCTAATACATATCTTCATGACAATGTTTTCTATGAAGCTGCAACCATAAAATGTCATTGAGAACAATAATACCAATAGCAAAGCCCAAAAGAAGGAGTTCTAATAAATTAAACAGCATAACAATCTAAAATAAAAAATGTCAAAAGTCTGATATAAACTGACCAAATGACTATACATCAGACAATGCCGTTGTTCCCCATCTTTATCTCACAATCATGTGCTTAAATACTGCAGAGCTTGCATGGCAGTATTCTGAAACCCAGGTTTTTGCTAATAGTGTTCTTTCCCACATCTCACAGACTAATGGCAATTTTAAGTCAAGCATTCAAAGGTTTGGAAATGTCAAAATTAAGGTTGACTCTGCAACCTGAATTTGGCCCTCATGTGTGTATGTATTATCCCAGACTCCATCCCTAGCAGCACCACCTATAACACTATCACCTATCACACCTATAGCACTACCAGCATTATCTATAATAACAACTCCCTCTTCACACTATTGGCATTTGCCTTATTACTGCTGCTCATTGCAGGTTTATATGCATTTTTTTGGGGACATCTACAAGCTTCTTACTCTCCAAGAGTGAGAATCCTACACCAAGGGTATCTTTGGAGAAGGAAAAAATGCTTAAATTGTTATTTTGTTTCTCTGAGGATGTTGTCTTGCAGTCATTAACCCATTCACCCACTTCCCCTTAGTGTTTACAGGTTACCTTTTTCAGGTGTTTTTTCTTTTGCATCGTTTTTCATTTTTTCTCTGAGGCACATTTTTTTATATCATGCAGATCACCTCCAGTTGTCATTTCTCTCTGCAAACTTTATTTCCTGCATAGTCAAGTAACTGAAATATTTGGAGGGCAGTGACAACCCTTGGCAGGCTGATCAGTGGTGGCCATTAAGGGGTCTGGCTTGCACTCTGTTCCACTATCCTGCCCTCAAGAATTATAAACTTTAAGAGCTAGTGTAGCTCTGCCAGTCTCATGCTAAGGAGCTATGACCCAAGAGAGAAACCTAAGAAATAATATTTTAAGAGAAGCAAAATTACAAGTCATTTTCCCTTTCTTCCTATCAGAATAAGTAAAGCATGATATATCTCCCACCTATAGGCACACACTGTATTTTTAGATTGATATTTCTATGGGCTAGATTCTCTTTCTTCTGATTAGCTGCAATTGGGGAACCAGGCTTTCTGTTTAAGGCATTTTCTTCCTATCATTGGAGGCTTTCAGGCCCCTCAATCTTTCTATGGATCATATACATATGAGCTGCTCATTGAATGTCTGGAATAGATGGTGTCTGCCCAGGAAAACCTCTCCATCGATAGCTTTCACACAAAACTGTTAAAAGACTTGAAGCCTGTAGCTGATATCACTGTCCTGTGACTGATCACCTCATTTGTGCTGCCATTACTTTGTTTTTCATAGTGAAGAGCAGCACCCCTGCAGGAATGAGTAATATTCCCACTGGAATCAAATTAAGATGTTGAGAATCATATCCCAGCCTTGCCACTTACTGGTGGTCTCTGCAAAAAGAACATGAAGAAGAGAGGCAGAGGATGGGGAAATAAAAGAAAAAATTGTAAATGACTTAAAGACACCAAAAATGCACCTGTTGCTACATTGCCAGAGCCAGTGGACGATAATAATTTATGACTGTGTGAATATTAACCCTGTGATTTATCAGCTGCATTGGTTGATTTAATGCCAATAAAGCATCATAAAACCCAGTAATGGTGAGGTTAAAAATGAATGCATTGCTACAGGAGATATTCAAGGCATTTAAATCAGTTGAGCCCACATGAACAGTGCATTTACTCTGCCTATTAAAAGAGGTCCTTAGGGAATCCTACCAGTCATGTAGACAGGCTGGATGGGCCGGTCCATTGCTGGATGAGGTAATGTGGAAGCAGCAGGGGAAGACTGGGTCCTGGAAACAGGCCGATGTTTATCTAATCCTGCCATGCCAACTGTAGCCATCTGAGCCTGGTACATTTGCAACTGGTGGATACGCTGATGCTCCAGGATCTGCTGTTGCCAAGAAAACAGCACAGTAGAACGAAATGTGAGAAGGGATCAAGTAAGACACTGAGAGAAACATGTCAACAAATTAAGTTCATTAGGTCAGGGCTGTAATAAACAGTGTGAAAAAAAACCCCACCTAAGACCTAGTCAATAAATCCATTCAACAGATGTTTTCACACTGACACTGAGGGGCTGCCCGCACTGCTGAATACTATGTGATGGCAGGCAATCTCTCAATTCTCACTGATGGAAAGAAACAGCTCTACCCACACAGAGTAATATTTGACTGAAGACTTTTCTAATAAGTTGATAACATAATATTAAGCAGGCTCTGTACTGTTATAAGTCTATGTGAGGGAGAAAAAAAAATCTTCCTACAGTACCTCATTCTAAGAGAAGGATACTAAGCACTTGCACTTAATTTGTTGAATCTAGTGGGCCAAATTTTACAAAGGTCTTGATTTAATTTTCATCAAGATGTCTGGAAAATGAGAAACATTTGAACATAAATTTTTGTGAAAAATTTAGGAACGTAGGAATCGCAATGTTCGCTCAGATGTAAAGTCCATCTGGTCCAGTAACCTGTTGCTGACAGTACCAGATGCATTCGAGGAACGTGGAAGAACCACACAGTAGACAGATGTGAGAAGATAAGGGAAGGTAGATTTATCCCCTTTTTGTTTGTCAAAAAATGTGGAAACTCAAAATTTTTCAATGCACTCTTGGGTGAAACTCTAGCCTTACTGAAGTCAATGTGAGTTTTGTCATTGTCTTCAATACAGCCAGAATTTTGTCCCAGGTCTTAATTTTTTATGCACATTCCTAGACCCACAACTGATTGCTGATGCAAAACTGATGGTGCAAAACAGATTTTTACAAAAATATTTAGCTCTAAAATAACTGAAATATAGATCTCCATTTTAGGGCTATACGCTGCATTTTTCTTCACCAGGCACTTATGTTTACTGATTTTCTTTGGAACTAAGCAACATATAATCAATGCATTGGCTCATTTAGTACTGCTGCAGACCTGGGTGCAATAGCAAGTCCACTTTGCCAAAGGCCTGGACTGCCATAGAAGGTATTTTTCAATGCTCAGAGAGCGGAAGCAGAGTTCAGTTTGTACACAAAAGCAGGCGGGAGTACACTATTTCCCCTAGCTAGCTATAGAGTGAATCCAAGATTCCTCGAAGTGTAAGTGGCGGTCCTGTGGGAGAGGGAATTAAAGCTTTTCCAAGGGACAGATGCTCAAAAGAGGGGTATTCAAGAAGAGATGAAATGGGAACCAACAGTTAACAGACATGAAAGCCCCCTCACCCACATTAATACCCAGAGTCCCCACTTCAGTGAGATGATGTTGAGTCACAGAGGATAAACTGCCTAGTTGTATTGCCATAAAATGATGCAACATAGAAAGAAAATGCAAATAAATAAAAAGAGCTTTTACAGAAAGTTGCTTGGTTTTAAGTCATGAACTATTTTCTTTCTTTCTTTTCTTTCGGTGGTGGTGGTGTAGGGTGTTATAAATTCAGAGTTACTTGGTAATAGCTCAAGAAATCACTGCACCCAACTCCTTTACGAACATATCACAGGCACCAGACACACAAAGGAATCCCCCTTGCCAAAAATGCTTAATAGTATGTTGTTTTAACACACCTGCTGAAGTGGCATAATGTGATAGTGAAGATATGTGTTGTGCACCAGATTGAATGTGTCTTTTGTAGCCATAACTGTGTGAAGTGCTCATCGAAGGGACGGAATAGTTGTGCATTGGCAGGATAAAGAGGAAACATTCTATCTGTGGAGGACAGAGGCAGAGTCGATCTAAGTGAGTTTATTCTGTTCACCTCTAGCTATGGTTTCCTGGGAGAAAGCAGGAGCAAAGTCTGAGAACCTGGATATATGAATTCAAGAGGAGAGGGACATTGGACATCCAATATTTTTTATGTGCTTTTAAATAGTTACGGTACTTTTGACCTTAGTGCACTCTATATTTGTGTTTGAGCTACATGGTATCTATAAAGGATACTGTTTTCAATTGTAGCCAGATGGACTGATTTTTCTACGTGTATCAAGCTGAGTGTATTGTATCTAACAGCTTGTCTACCAGATATTTTAGCACGAGTTTCTGATAAAATTTGCTGAAGACTGAGAGAGAAGCTAATTCCTGGGTTTCTTATCCTGCTAAAGTCTGTCCTCACATAAACCTATACAAATATCTAGAAATTGCAACAAGCTTATTTGACATAACCAGTTTAGAAAAGGAAGAGGAATCGTGGTAGGATATTCATTTTAATAGCCACTGCTCTACTGCTAGGTTAACACTAGAACTAATAATCTGTGCATAGCTTCTAAAATTTGTTAAAATAACTTGTAGTAATTTGTATAAGGGGATTCATTTTGGGGTGGATTATTCTTTCAAGATATCACAAAGCCCCTTTTACTTTAAGAATCAAGATTTTAGATACCAAGCGGATGTCCTCTTATCATCATGGCTTCTGTTTTAGGTTTGATTAGTTTTGAGCCAGAGATTTAGATTGAATTCCAGAATTAGGTTAAAGAGCACAGCCACTGAGCTCTTTGATTTTTTGATAAATAGCAGTGCATTCGGAAATTCCTCCTCCCCTATATATTTATGCCCTGAATCTGTGAATAATGCTGTATCACACTGGCTAGGGGTTTAATTGCTAATGTATAGAGTAGCGGTGTTAATTAACACCCTTATCTGGTTTCCCAGAAAGTGCACGTGGACTTGGAAGGATGATGCTTAACTCAATACTATGAATTCATCCTTGGATTCCCTGTGCTGTAGCACTGTGAACACATGTCCATGTGTCCAGAGATAGGACAAGAGAACTGTCTGCACATCTGTAGTTAGTGATTTGTATAAATATATCTGGAACATTTCTTAGGTTATCTGAGCCTTGTCCTCCCTGCATGAAGCCTGTTTGTTCCAGGTGCATGAGATTAGTTCATTAGTTGAGTTAGGCAATTAGAGCCTGATCCAAAAACTATCCAAGGCAGTGAAAAGATATCCATTAAATTCTCTTGACATTGGATTAGGCCCTTAGTAATTATTTTGAGGAGGATTTTCAAAGCAGTATCTAAAAGGGAGCTGGGTCTTTTGGAGATAGGTAAGTTACATTCTTGTTGTTCTCCCAGTATTACCATGATAATTGTTGCTTGTAGGGAATCGATCTCAGTTTAGACTTGATGTGAGTCTCCCTGTAGGGGCTTATGTATTTTTTCCTAGGAAGGTTATATAAAAATGTGATTCTTTGTATAGACTATGGATTTTAATGAGAGCTATTTCCTTTGTTTCCAATGGGTCTGAAAGTTGCTACCTGATGTTCAGCAAGGTAAGTCAATTTTGTTGTTGTCAGGAAGTTATAATTTTCAAGATGAGATCAGGGGTTCCTTCTGTTCACTGTAAAACTGCTATAAGGTTTAGTACCACCTGCAGTACTTTCTTCTGCTCTGTTGATTATTTTGTTCTGTGTATAGTAAAGAATAGGTGCATTTATGCTCTTCTAGAAGATTGTTGTTTTTTCACCTGGAACCCTACCAGCCTACTTGCTGTTGTTCTAAACAGTTATGTAGTTTCTGTACTGTTTTATCTGTTCACTTTATCATGATAGTTTTAGTCTACAGATTTGAGTACCTCCCCTTGTATATTTAGAAATAGCACAACAATGAGCTCAAATTTCTCTTTCCAATATTTTGTTTATTTTCTGATATAATTATTTTACAGTGAAAACTGCTTTTCAGGCTTTGCACAGGATTATTTCTTCATTGGCATTGGTTTTCAGGGAAACCTTTTTTATTTATATCCCCGTAAAATGTTCAAAATTTTGAATTTCCTAAGATTGAAATCAGTGTTAATGAATTGCTGTCAGAAGTCAAGCTGGTGAAACAGGTAACTTATGCCCATGCTTTATAACCATCTACAGCACCTTCTATGGATGTGCTTCTAACACAGTGGTTATTTTAAATGGAGGCACAGACCCCTTTGGAAATCTTAGCCATTGTTCCGTGGACCCCTCGCGTGCACAGACTAAGTTGAAAACCACTGTTCTAGCACATAGTGCTCAGAGCTGTAACAGGCGTAAATGTCCATTAATCATGTTAGTCCTTTTTAAAATGTGATGGCCTCAGTGTTGCCAACCCTGCAAGTCCAAAACTCATCTGATCGGCATAAAAATGTTGTCAACTCTGTGGAAGTCAGGGCCGGCTCTGGCTTTTTTGCCGCCCCAAACATATGCTTGGAAGGCTGGTGCCTGGAGCCGGCCCTGGTGGAAGTGGCCCCTTTTTGTGCACTGGTATTTCCAGGTGGTTTCTGGAAATAAACAAAAATAAATACATGCACAGGGTGGAGCCCTCCTCCTCCTCACTTCTGAGGGCTGATGATGACCCTGCCTCCCCTGCTGCAGGCCAGGCACCTTCCCCTGGCCGTGATCTCTGCTCAGCGCCCTCTCCTCTCTCTGGCCTGGAGGCCCGCTTGCAGCTGCCTCCCCCTGCACACTGCGCCTGGAGCGGTGCAGGAGGAAGATGCTGGTGAGGGGAGGGTCTTCTCCACCACCCCGCGCCCCTTGGCGCCTCCTCAGCGCATGGAACCCAGGAGGCTCCTAGCAGCTGCCCCTGTAGTTGGCCCACGCTCTGCACGGGCAGCGCGCGAGCCCGAGCGCTCCCCGCAGCACGCGAAGCCCCGGCCTCTGCCGCCTCCCCGCCCCCCGCTCAGGCTGCCAAGAGCAGCATCTGGCGGCGGAAGGCGGAACTGCAGCACTCGTTTCGGGTCAGCCCGGAACCTGCGCGGCCGACAGAGGCAGCTCGACGCGCTTCGGCGGGACCGAGGGACTCGCGGAAGGCAGTAGGACGAGGGGTGGCAAGGCGGCGCATTGCGCGGCCGGGCGAGGCTCCTTCAGGCAGCGGGGCGGTGTGGGACCAGCCCAGGGAGCAATGTCTTACCAGTTCGTGCTCGGGCGCGCAGGGAGGGCGAACCCGGTGCA